TTTTGATTGTGGCCTCACTTATCTGTATGTCCAATTCTCCACCTCTGTCTGGGAAGTTTTCTACTATTACTTCTGTGAACAGTTTTTTTATGTCAATTGTACTTTCTCCTGCTTTTTCATGAACTCCTATCAGTCTTACCTTATTCTTCTTTGCATCATCTAGCAGCTGCTGGATTGATTTCTCATGGTTCCTTACTATTTTTAAGAAATCTCTGTTTTCATGGTCATTAACCTCAATCCTGTTTTCTATATCTGATATTCTATCTTCACATTCCCTTAATCTGCCGTATATACTTTCAATGGAGTTTTTAATCTCCTGGATATGTGTTTGAATCTGTTTCATGGATTCCATTTCTTTCTTATGTTGGGTGATCATGGTTTCCATTTCTTTCTTATGCTGGGCATTCATGGCTTCCAGCATGTTTCTGAGCTCGTCTATTTTTTTTAAATTTTAATTAATGTTTCTGTTCTAGAGCTTCTAATCATGTCTTTCACTCTGCTCACCATCTCTGGAGTTTTCTGGGAAATTATTTCTGTTTTGAATTTTTCTAGGGCCTCATTCATCTGTTTTGTTACTTCCTATGCTATCAGTTCAGGGTGTCCAGGTAGTTGAGTATCAGACTTTTCCACCTCATTTCCTCCAGAATTTACCCTTGGTGGGGTGGAAGTCTGAGTTAGTGCCTTGCTTAAATATCTTCTCTTTTTTGTTTTTGGTACTGTCCTTGGTTTAATTCCTGGGTTAATACTTCAAAATTTCCTATTGTAAGTATCTTTGTTGCTTATAATTAGAACTCTTATGGAATGATTGCTTCTCAGAGGTGTCTTCCAGATATAGCTGGTCTTTAGGTTTTGAGTCTCTAATGATTCTGAGGCTGTCTTATTTTCATTATTCCAGGAAGGACAACTGATTGGATCAATAACAACACCTTAGCAAAAGTGATACAATCGGCAACACCATAGCATCAAGTACATCTTAGAAAATGACAATTTGTGGTAGTTATTAATCTATCACCTTTAACTGTGTGAATTAAATCAAAATTGAGGACCAACCCAACATATGTTTATAGTGAATAAACTCTTCAATATAGCAATTTTACCCTTCGGGATGGGGAATTAGAAGGAGTTCGGGATGGAGGCATAGGTAGAAGGATAGGGGAAGGTTAGCAGTGATGCCAGAGGACACAGGCAAGAGAAGGAAAAAGAGAAAAAAAGAAAAATAGAGAACAAATCTGAATTAGGGCCAGAACAGAAACAAAAAGGGAGATGAAGAACAATGTGGGACAGCAAGAAAGTGAGTGTGAGAAAGAGAGAAAGGAAAGAGAAAAGAAAGAAAAAAAGAAGAGAAAAATAAAAATTTGAAGAGTAGGAAAAAAATTAAAAATAAGAGCAATAGTAACAATAATTTTGAAAATAATAAATATAAAATAAAAATGAAAATGAAGGACCTCCTTCAGGATATGTCTTTGCTGTCACAACAGACAATGTGGACAGCCGTGTGCAGATATAAGTCAATGAGTCTCAGCAAGCCAGTAGCAGACCCGTGAGATTCAGGCAGATTTCTGGCGGCAAGGGCCAAGTTGAGCTCCCTGTCCTCCTGCAGGGTTGAACTCTGCAAGGTTCTACTCCACGTTCCAGCTGCCCTTCTCCTGTAGATAGTCCAGGTTCGATGGGAAGTGATGATCCCTCCAACTTATCAAGTACGGTGCTCTGGTGTGTCCCCTATGCCTTTGTAGTGTGGAACCAGGTAGCGGCACGGCCAGGAGGCCAGAGGCGCATGGGGGATGGGGGTTAGGGGGGTGCTGCAGGGCAGCTAAGTGGGTGACCCTCGTGGGCATGGCAAATGGCGAGGGGTCCTCACCTTCTGGGTCATTGCCAGTGGGCATGGCTCTGGTTGGATGGAGCAGGGCTCCCGGGGGCCCAGAACCTCTCTCTGGCGGGCTAAGCGGGTTGCCGCCTTTGGCGTGGCCTGGGCTGCTTACTTTTTTTTTTTTTTTGGTACCGGGGATCGAACTCAGGTCCTTGAACTTGCGCAGCAGGCGGGGAAACCAGTGAGCTAAATCTCCGGCCCCATGGGCTGCTTACTTTTAACTCCTAAAATAGTCTTATGTCTCTCCTTAAAATAATCATTCTCTTACACTGATAAAATACTGAATTATATGTAAAGTTGAAGCTTATTGCCATCCTCTACAATCCTACATTATCTAGAAGTCTAGAAACTTGCAGTAGAGAGAGATACATGTGCCTTCTTGACATTTTTCTACTTAGCACTTCTAGTCCTTCTTTACTCACTCATTCCTCTTGGACCCCCCCCACTCAGGGTCGCTGTGTATATATGGAGCTATTTGGGTAGATACAGCAAAAAAGCAGGAAAGGTCTTTATTGACTGACACCAGTGTAATATGGCATTCCATACATGTTCACAATTGAAAACTATAAAACATATAGGGACATATAAAGCCATGAATGAGAGTTAGCTGAAGTAGCAAATTGCAATATTAAATCCTTGAAGACTGTATGGGCATTATTGTACATAACATTTTTAATGATTATGTTTAATAGATTCAAAGAGCGATTTCACACAGAGTAATTTCATGACACTATCAACAGTGACCATGTGGATGTGAAAAAGAGCTAGTTTGAACTTCTGGAAATGAAAAATATATTACTTAAAGTTCAAAGGAAGGAAATTAGAGCCAGCTGAAGAGAAAATTAGTGAACTGCAAGATAAACCTGAAGAAATTACTTAGAGAAGAGAATAGAAGACAAAGATGGAAGACAGATTAAGCAATACGGAGACAGAATGTGAAGCTCCAACACAGAGCTTACAGATAAGATGAAACATGGGATATGTCAATAGCTGAGAGTTTTCTATATTTGATGAAAACTAATCCACAGATTGAGGAAGCACAATAAATCTCAACTGGAACAAATACAAAGAATTCATACCTGGTCATAGGTTAATAAAAAACAAAGAACACTAGAGGTAAGAATATTTTAAGAACTCCCAGAGAGACAAGACACATGATCTACGAAAGGATACTTAGGTTGATAACTGACTTCTCAAAAGCAACCCTGATCACTTTAATGTGTTGAGAGAAAATAATTATCAATCTAGAATTGTATAACCAGTGAAATTGTCTTTCAAGAACAAGAATGGAATACTTTTAGATAAAAACAACAACAACAGAGTATCCTACCAACAGACCAACACTAAAGAAACCTTCCTTCCGAAAGAAAAGATTTAATAAGAATCTAAAACATATGAAGAAAGAATGTGTAGGAAAAACATGGGTGATCCTAAACAAACAATAAAGACTACATATCTAAATGTTATTTAAATATTTATATATAAACTATATATTTATAAGTATTATTTCTATATATAAATATAAAAATATTTATTAGAAAGCTGAAAAAGCAAGATGGAATTAAAACATTAGATAAAGTGGCAGAAAGTTCAGAAGAGGTGGCATTAACCTATTTATTTAGAGTGCTTAGAAAAAAAGTTTTTGTTTTTGTTTGGTTTTGGTTTGGTTTTTGTTTTATGTTGTACTGGGGACGAAAACCAGGGCCTTCACACTGAGCTGCTGCATCTCTAACCCTTTTTAGATTTTGAGACAGAATCTCACTAAGTTGTTAAGTTGCCCAGACTTTTGATCCTCCTGCCTTAGCCTCCCAGAGTGCTGGTACTACAGGTGTGGGCCATCATGCTCAGCTAGAATCTATTTTTACATTAAATCTATATGTTAACATTTTCAAGTTAATTACTAAAAGGATAAAGTTAAGCCCAGACACTTCAACCAAGGACAGGTTTTCCATTCAGCCAGGACCTCAAAATCTGGAACTCCCTTGATAGGGCTTGGCCATCAACATAGGCTTAATAGTTCCATGAGGTTCTTATGATAACAAAGGTTTTTAATTGCTTCCTCTTAATTATGGTGTTGTGAAATTTCTCAAACCTCTTCAGAACTAAAAATGTCCTCCCGCGATAAGTTTCCTTCCTTTCCCAAGTGTAATTTCTATCAGGCAAAGGCGGCTCCGTTCTTGAAAATGAACCAGGAACCATCCCATGGTCCAAGCAACTCTCCCACCCCATCTCCTCCAGGACATTAGAGCACTGCATGCCAAGGACTCCTCCAGCCTGTGGCTTGTTAAAAATCTCCATAAGCACACTATTATGCTTTGTCAGTATCTCCTTCTACAATCCCACAATATCTATCCCTCTAGTACATCATTTAAAGCATTCTGAGGAGAGTGTGTATTATATGCTCCTTCTTTTGATGAGGCTATTTAATGCCAGATCATGATGAACCACAATTATGTGAATGATAAGTACTTGATAACAAAGGTAGATGAAAATGCTTTTATTTAGTTTAAAACATCACAACCAAATTCACTTTGTATGTCTGACATAGGAAAAAAAATTCATGGGAGACAGTGATATAAACATTTCAGTTTTGATGTCACAGACAAGGCACAAAACAAACTGGGCAGGTGATTCTCACGAAGCCAACTTCTGCCCCTCTTAGTCCCATTGCTTCTTCTATTCTCTTGTTCTTTACTCACACAAGGAAATTTCTCATGGGGTAGTGTCTAACATTTTTGTAAATAAAATGGCTTTTTTTATAGCCAAGGTAAGAAAGAAGCAGTTTGTCAGCTTTCCCAGAAAAAATGGGTCAGACCACATTCGCGTCATATCCACCTAGCCCCACTAAGAAACTACCAAAATTTTAGTTAAACTCCAAATTTTCTCGTCCCTGCCTTTCTTGCCTCCCTCTAGATCTGGCCCTTCTGAGTTCTACCTAAAGCCTTGAAATGTAATGAAGATGATAAGGTATTTTCTTCCCAAGCAGCTCCTGATCCAATGCCAGAATTCTGGGTCCAGATGAATCTGTAGTTTGGCTCAGAAAGTTGCCTTCAAGGATTCCTAGTGCCAAAGTACATATTTCTCAAAGCCCCTCACAGCATGGCTACTGCACATGGAAGCTCCTGGAAGATGGCCTTTGAGGAAAGGCGCTTAATTGGACAAAGCAGCTATGGTATGTGTCTTTGTTGCTTCACCCAAGTGATGATCTGTGAACTAGAGCTGAATTCAGGAGTCTTCTTACCACACATTGCACTGTAAGAGAATAATCCAGACTTCCAGCCCTCAGATTTTGTAGGAATTGCAAAGAACCCTGAACAGTCGAGAAAGCCTGGCTCTATTGATTTTAAAAGCCACTTAACCATAGGGAAACCACTGAGCTTTTCCAACCTCAGTTTTACATTCTGTATGATTTGATCACAGGCCTTGATGTGAGCGTCAAATGATATAATGCATGTGAAGGTGGCAAACAGTAACACGTCATAGAAACCCTACAAACATCATTAGTACTGACCCCATCACTGTCAGGCAGTGCTGAAGCTCAGGCTGCTACTTAAAGCAGCTCAGCAGTATCTTTTCTCCATTCTGATCTTCAAGGCTTTGAGCTTCATTGACCAGTTTCTCAGGTGACTAGGGGGTAGGAAGGATCGCTGTAGGAAAAGACTAGGCACTTCTAGGACCTTAAGTACCTGGGCCACTATTTTAGTGAATTTGGATTTCTACATCCTATAACTCAAATGTCTGTAAGATTCTGATAGCGTTTAAATGTGATCTTGGAAGGAGTTATAATATAGATTTTATTATTCTTTCCCATGTCACTTTGGGTCTAAGAGTGTTGACTCCCAAGGCTGATAATTTATATGCTTTAAAAAAGGATTTACATTTGCCATTTCCCCAATGACCTCCTTTCTTTTTATTCATGATCTAAGTTTTGCTCAGAATGGCATCAAGGGAATGAGACAATTACCTGTAATTCTTGTTGTTTGATCTGAGATTGTCATAGCAGATCACTGTTCTGGAAATGGAAACATCTAGTGCAGGCTCCTGTGGCAGGCTCCCAACTCCTTCCTCTCTGCTTCAAGTTTTCCCTCTACTGGCTCTGGTCTGCCAGTTCCCAGGGTCAAGGCCAAACTGCTGGGGAAAACACTGTTGCCAGCCTCAGGCAGTGGGAGGGAACTCTCCAGGACATCTGAAGATTCCACAGCCGAAGAAAGAGTCAGCTGTGTGACTCTTTCCAAATGCATCTGACCACAGGACTCTCCTAAAATTCAGGTTCAAAACACAGATCTTGTCTCCACACCTGCTCAAGGCAGAGCTCAATGACACTACATATTTTATTTCTTTTTGGTGACACTGTACTGAGGATTGAACCCAGGGCCTCATACACACTAGGCAAATGCTCCACCGCTGATCAACATCTCCAGCTCTTTTTGTTTTTGGAGACAGGGTCTCAATAAGTTGACCACGCTGGCCTCAAACTTTCGGTCCTCCTACTTCAGCCTCCCAATTATCAATAGTTCTTCTTTTTTTAACAATAGGAGTCAAATAATTCTTATGGCTAGGCTATCTGGGGAAACACTGATTCAGCAAGAGCTGTAATCTGGGAGTCTAAAGATCTAATATATGACTTTACTAACGGGAATGATGGTTTCTCCATTTAAAAAGCACAGGGGTGAATTACAATGCTACTTCAGTCTCTCTCAAAGGCTGCCTAAGAAAAAAACATGGAGTATTGTATGGAGTATTCGGACTATTAGAATATATACAAAAGTGGCTCTGTGCTTCGGGTTTGGGTGGCAGCCCTTCCCATCCTAGGCACCCATCCCGTGCCAGGTGCAGAGGGAGGACCGTGAGAAGGGAAACATGAGCCCCAACACCTCTGTGAAAGCTGCCTGCATTAACGGAGGTGGGCAGCAGCACCCCTAACTGCAGAACTGAGCACCTACATGTGCTCAGTTCTGGGAGCCTGCTGGGGCCTGGGGAGCAGACACCACTGCCAGGCCCATGGTGATTGTCCCCAGCTTCCTAATGACTCTATGCATGGCCTAGAAAAGCAGTTCACCACCAAGGGACAGCTCCTACCACCTGCTTCCACACTCCCTCCTCCAGCTCGCCCCTGACTCAGCTGTGACTCACAGGCAAACAGCAGTTCCTCATTATCCCTCCAGGCCCCCTGCCACTCACCCTTCCCCAACCTGATTCACCTCTTTTCAGCTGGGACTTCTGTAGATTGGTTTCTCAGATAACTGATCACATCTTTAAGTGAGATGGATGGACAAACATGCAACACTTAAATATTAAAATATTCCCATTTAAATTTAAAAATCTTTAAATCTCTGGGTATATTGTAATTGATCCATAGCACGATTTCCTATCATATGTGTAAGAATCTGCTAGTTCTTTCTTGGGCATGTCTTACTTCCCCAGGATCCCAATGGACAGAGACCATGACTTACACAAGACTTATTTTATACCCCAATAAAACCTACAAAGGAAGTTAGGCGGAATAGGCTCTTCCTAAGTAGGACACACTACTTGGGGAAGAAGGAGCAAAGTGATGTGTAGAAAAAAGCCAGGGTGTTGAGGATAGTCAGTTTTGCCTTGTCTCTGCAGTCTTATATCCTGTCCACACACCCAGAAAAAACTGCTTTTTCTATCTACTAAAGCAATGGAAGTCTGATTCATCCAGCCTTACAGAAAACAAGGTGGTCCCACCCCAGGTTATTTTAATAGCTTACCACCTTCTCTGTGTTTTTGTTTTGTTTTGTTTATTGTCTGTCTACACTCTCACAGTCTTAGGAATTACAAGTTTCCAATATTAACAATTCTTCCCATTGTTCTCAACCTTCACCAAAATGATACATGCCCCCGACTTTAAAAAGCAATATATTTGGTCTCTGCAGCTGGTGCTACGGGGCTCTTTGGTGGTGAGAAACCGGACACAGTGCTCAGTATAAAGCAATGATAGCTACTGCAGCTAACCAATAGTCTCCAAAATTGCCTGAGCAAGTTGAAACCCAAAGCTGGTGACTAAGAAATTATGAGTCTATCCTATTTTCCATGTGAATTGGGGCCCAAATAGACCAACTCTTTGAGGACAGGGACACCAGCATGTCTAAAACTCAGCACCAGGGTTATGGCTTGTGTCTTCCAGCCCTTGGAAGTGCCAGCACTGGGCTGAACTGTACTTCTGGTTCCTGGAGGACAGGCCAAAGCAATTATGAAGGCCTTTTGTAGGCCAATTCTCCGAGCAACTATACCAGCTCTTCCCTCTGACCCTCACCCAGCCACTACTTTGTGACCCAGCACACATAGGACTTTTTGGAAACACCAAGAAGTACAATGGATGCTAATGGAGTGGTAAGTTTGGAGGTCTGGACCGATGGCTCTGGAGAAGACCTGGGAGATGCTAATCAACATTCAGTTTGTCCATGGATCCAAAGATAGGGAACGGACCCTTGCTGGGTTAGGGGATACCAAGTTCATCCTTCCCGTCCAGTGAGGGGGAGGGTGTCCCACACCCAACAATGTGTCCCATCATAATAGTGTAGGGTAAAAAGATCAAATAAAAAGTCTGTCAGAGAAAGTGGAGGCTGGAAGACGCCTAAGGCTGGATGGAGTAAGAGATTCAGGGCTGAACATTCTGACAAGAAGAGAACACTGGCATCCATGCCTCGAGTAGGAATCAGCAGTTTGGGCTGGGCTCAGCTAGGCAGTTTTTCTGTTGATCTTGGCTGGACTCTCACATGTCTACAATCAGCTGTGGGTTGACAAACTGTCAGACAGGGTGACAGGGGTAACAAGGCCCTTTTCTCTCATCATGCAGCAGGATAGTTCAGACTCATTCATCAGGTGGTGGCTGCAAGGTTCCCAAGAGCAGCAAGAGAGGACAAACCCCATGCACAAGAACTTTTCAAGTCTCTGTTTGTGCCACATTTGCTATTGGGCCATTTGGCTACATCAAATCACACGGATGTCTCCTGGTTCAAAAGGTGAGGGAAAAACTGCACCTCTTAATGAGGAGGGAAGAGTTCATGGCCATTTTTGTAATCCACACAAATTACAAAACCCAGAGAGGTCTATCTTTGGGACACAGGCAGAACCTACCATTTAGGCAAGGGTAGGAATAGGAAGTACTCCTTCCAAGAAAGCAATATCCTTTTTGTCTCCCCAAAGCCTTCCAGCAAGGCCAAGAGATGCAGGCTTCTCATCTCTAGTGTCCTGCAATGGCAGAACCAGGATGGCAGACAATTTATGGTCAACGAGGTACAAAATCAGAAAAGACTGAGTGGCATTTGTAGGGAAAATGACCCACATTTCAAATATAATGGAACCATATAGTATTTTCCTCTTACATTACTGTCATTCTTTTCTATCTTGCATTACTGCGTTCTCTTCTCTTTTAATCACTTCTCTTTCATGTGTTGTATTTTAAGCATTTATCAAAAGGCACCTGATGACAAACTAATCAGAGTGCAGATGGAGGTGGGCTCTGTGCATGGCACCAACCAGGAGGAAGTCCCGGAGAGGAGAGGAAAGGAAAAAAAGAGCCCTTACGGTTCAAGACTCAGATGTTGACATGTATTGCAGGAAGGGAAAAGCAGTTTACATCCTCAGAACAGAAAAGGAATACTGTTTAGACCGCTTCTCAAAATGGTATATTCTCGTTTTGTCCCAGCCACTCAAGAGCTGCAATTCAGAACAGCAGACTGAAGTCTTTTCTGTGATTGTCCAGAAGGTCGCTATCACTGAATGCACCAAAGGCTTTCTGACTTTAGTGTAACAACACTCACTGACTAGAGACCGGGAAGTGATGGGGATAAAAGGTGTATGCTGCCTTGAAGTGCTCTTCCCCTGTCAGCAGCAGGCCTTCATCTAATCGAAGAAATGAATTCTTCTGTCTCTAAGCATCGCACAGACATACTGTAGGCATAGACGATTTCCAGGGATTAGTGGTCCAGAGTTAACTCTTTCAGGACTGGAAGCAAAACCTCAGTTCTGCTAAGGAAGGAGGCTGGACAGCATAAACTGTGGGCGGGACGTTCTCACATGTCATTTTTGTGGTAAGTTTCTCAAACTAGTTAAATGAGCAATGAGGTTTGTAATCAGCCTCCCTTCGAGGCGGCCTTCTATCCCTTGCCAAAGAAGAGATCAGCAAATCTTCCAAGGTGGTGGCCAAAGAAAGTCCTGGCCTGCTGGCTCTTGGGTTTGTGTCTTGTCCCTGCAGTCTGCATCTGATTTCTGATTATCCGGAGAGATTTCTCAAAAACATCAGACCACAAGGGACATCCTGGTTGGAAAGTCATTCTGAAGAAAAGCAGAAAGATTCACCCAACATTAAACATAAGGTGCTTAAAGAAATCAACCAATACAACAGAGAGTCTACTGAGTAGGGTCCACAATCTGTTCAGAGCCAGGTACGCCCTGCCTTGGAGGATATTCCATTAGAGCTTCGGGGGCTGAAGCCAGGATACCTGGGGCAGAACTTAGATGTTGGCTCCAGAGGCACTTTCCACCCCTCCGAAGAATAACCACATCACAGCCGTACAACAGCACGTGTGAACGGTCTGCCACCAACTCAGTATCAGCCAGGAGTTTTTCCTTACTCACACTACCCTAATCATTGCATTTTCCTATTGAAAGAATAAAGGACCCCTGTTTTGGAGGGGCTAAAAATAATGTCAGTCCCTTTTTCTGTTTATAGTTCTTCTCCCACAGCGCACACTAAAGGGAATGTCCAGCTTGGATTCATGAAAAACCAAATGTGAGGAGACAGAGTTAGAGCAGGACCCAGAGATGGCCGAGCATGGGCAGGGGTCTCCAAGGCACAGGGTCACAGCACTTTGGCACAACACTGTGAGCACCTGTGACTGCCCCCAATGCTTGTCCGAGATCCAGAGCTTACACTGAAGGACAGAGTGGGCAGCACTCGGCATTTAGAGGGAAAGCAAGAGTGGCCTACAAGGAGCTGGGGAAGGACCAGACGATTTCCTTCACATATACAAGGCACAGTACACAGTTAACACTCAAAAGAATGTCAAAGGAGGAAGGAAAGAGGAAGTTAGCTGTCGGTTGTAAACAGCACGGGCTCCTGGCCTTCTCTGGGATATGGACCCTTGTGGGAACTTAATGGAAGTTACCAAGCCTCACCCCAAGGGGGGCAGGAGATGGGGAAGGAGGAATGTACCTATAAACCTGAATAACAAGTTCCGCACACGGGCCTCGCGTAGTCCTGGAGCCCCTGATGCCAAATGCTGCTGACCCCCCACACTACCTCATACTGGGGACTGAACCCAGGGCCTTCACACTGAGATACATTCCTAGCTCTTTTAAAAACTACACATTTTATTCTGATACTGGGTCTTGCTAAGTTGCCCAGGCTGGCCTTGCTCTCACTGTCCTCATGCCTGGGCCTCCCACAGTGCTAGGATGACCCTGGGCCTGTGCCACCACACCCAGCGGCCAAATCCTCCTTACAGCTGGCCCTTAACTGTCTACCGGCCTCTGTAAAGTCATCTACACACCTTCTACTTTTTGCCTCTGAAAAAACTCTCCAGGGCCCCATGCTTACTAACTCCACCCTGGTCCTGGACAGAGTGTGGTTGAAGAGAGCCCCAGGGTAACCTCCGCGGACAAAGCCCCTCAAAGCTGGGCTCCAGGGCTCCCTTACTGGGCCTCCCCCGGCAGGGACCCCGCCCATCAGCGCCCCGGGCGCCCCACCGTCTTCTTGGCGGGATCCTTCTTCCTGCGCCTCTCAGAGTTGCTGCAGTAGGGCGGGTCACGCGCGCGGTAGGACGGGCCGCGGCTGAGCTCGCGCTCGCTGTAGGGCGGCAGCGCGTCGTCGGGCACGTCCTCCTCGTCGGGCGCGGGCGGCGACCAGGCGTAGTAGGAGGCGCTGCGCGGGCCGAGCCGCGCGCCGCGCTTGGCCGGTGTCTCCAGGCTACCGCCCTGGAAGGCGAGGCCCGGCTCCGGCGCGTTGCTCGGGGTGCGGCTCACCAGGCGCGGCAGCGGCGCGCGCGCGTCCCCGGGCGCGAAGAACTCGAGCGCGCCGTCCGCGTAGAAGCCCCCGTGCGCGCGCGACTCCGCGCGCTCGAAGCGGCTCCCGGCCCGGGGCTCCAGGCTGCTGCCGTCGGCGCGGCGGGGACGCGGCCCGTAGGAGTCCGCGAAGGCCGCCAGCTCGTCCATGGATACTGCCGGCACGCCCCCGGCGAAGCTCTTCCTGGACAGCATCTCCGACTTGCAGCGCTGCTGGCTGCGGGCAGAGGAGGCATGGGTCAGGGGACCGCGGGTCGCGGAGCTCACACCCTGCCCGGTTCCAGGCGGGGAGACTGAGGCCGGCCTGCGAGAGTGCCCAGGGTATTCCGGGAACTCGGCTCTGCACCGGGATGCACCCATCATCTTGTGCCCCTCAAACGCCCCATGGTGCATCCAGGGAGGGCGACCCTGGCTACCTGAGGAGTTTGTGAGAGGGATCAAAATGGTGACCGGCCAAAGATGCTTTCTGGGCTCCTCAGTGGTGAAACTCATGGCGAGGCTTTTGATCGTTAGAGTGAGACCTCTGGTTGATAGTCCACATCTCATCCGCCCACTCTCAAAGCCAGCTAACTGGCAAAACACCCACAGTCTCGGGAATATGTGCTGACCCATAAACAGGCCTGTTCCTCTTTCAAGGCTTAGGGCCACATTACAGGGCAGGAGGCCAGAGAGACCCTTGCAGTTGGTAAGAAAAGGATAATGTCTATGATTCAAGGTAAAGGACAGGTGAGTGGTGCAGGTGCCATTCAAGGGGAAGTGGTCACAAAAACTGGCAAAATCTCTGCCACCCCTGTAAAGTTTCTGAGCATCTGAAAGTTTGTATTTCCCAACTTAAAACAGGGACATCAGTGTAGCTGCCTTTGAGTTATGAAAATTAAATGCAACAGTATCAGTGTTGGTATCTTGCCTCTAACATGACAAATGATCAAAAATGAAGTACATGATGGTTGGGAATTATTAGAGGTTACAGGATAAAGTATCTGAGGAGGACAGAGACACATGAATGTCCCTTGAGGGGCCTATGGCACGCATTTTCAAAAGGCCTTAAAGGATTTCTCCTACACAGGGTGCCACAAGGATTCCCTTGCTTAATGGACACAAGAACGGGCTACTCCATTGCCTATACTAAGAGATGTGGTGGGCAGCACTAGATGGGAGACAGATGCTTGCACATAACAATAGGCTCCCCTTTAACTTGCCTTCTACTCCGGCCCCCTCATACCCTTCACCTGTGCCGGAAGCTTTCCCGGTCCTCTTTGTTATATTCCACGGCTGAGGGACCGCGGCTCGTCCCGCTGCTGCCTCCCATAACACCTGACCAGTAGTCAGGATTGCTCTCCAAGTCCCCAGACACAGGGAATGGCTTGCTTCGCATCTGATGGTACGACTGGCAGAAATTGCTGTCCTCCTCATGCAGGGAGCTGAGTTCCGAGATGGGGTTGTTATCTGTAGAGACAAAACCAGGCATGACAGAGCTTTCTACACAGAAGACAGAGAGGATGACTCTGTTAAGGGCCAGAGGCCTGAGGCTCCAGAGACTCCATGCAAGGCCCCCAGGTCTGTCTGCCCTGAGTGGGCTGTGGACCTGCGCTAGTGGAATTTGTAGTCTCAGCTCAGCAGGGACTGGCTCCAGTTCGAAGCCTACTGTTTATGGAAAGGGAGGCTTCCTACGTGCTCTGTTCTTGGAATAAGAGAACAATTGTTTTTGTTCCACCTAAGGCAGGCTTCCCAGAACTCGGGCTCTCTGCAGCTGGCCTCTTAGTACATCGTCATCCTTGTTCAAATGTTTTTCTTGGTCCTGTATAATTCTGTTGATGAGCCATGATGATCCTAGGCATGCTGGGCCAAAAGGGACCAAAAAAAGAGAAGCCACAGATCACAGCATCTTTCCTACTGCCAAGTAATGAGGCCTTCAGAGCTAGTACTGCCACATATTTTAAAGGAACCCCAGTCTGCCCCTCCCTGCATAGCAAGAAGTCCATGAGGGGCCCGGGGATTTAGCTCAGTGGTTTTGCCACCTGCTACGCAAGCACAAGGACCCAAGTTCGATCCCCAGTACCAAAAAAAAAAAAAAAAAAAGAGAAGTCCATGAGGTCAAGGAGAAGTGTACACTTCGTGTCTTCACACACCCTTTTCAGACCATGCTTATCCAGGAACCTGGATATCCTACCCAAGTGGTACCAGATCTGCTTTCAAGGCCTGGGTAGACCTCTTCCTTTCCCTAAAGATTATTTCAAGTGTGTATGGCCATGGGTGGTCAGGCCAGTAGTCTGGAAATGTGGGAAGAAAAGGGGCAGCCTGTCCTTCTGGCCTGGTCTCCATTTATGTTCAAGGGAAGGGGTTATCTAGTCACAGCTTTCTTGTTTACCTAAGTAGCTTTTTGCAAAGCAGTTTGAACAAGAAACAGAATCACGGTCTAGAAGGCAAAGAAAGAGAAACTATTTATAGAACTTTGAAATATACTCAATTTCACTTTACTTAAAAAATAAATCTAGTGAATCTATTTGCAGTGTAACCAAACCATTTGTTTTCTAAAATCTTTTCATTAAGACTTCAAAAATATTATTAAAAACAACACTTCCTAAGGTTAAGACTGTTGAGGGAGAGGTAAGCCAAGATAAGATGTGGGAAGCATAAATGTGTCTCAGGTTTCCCTCTGCTTCACCTTAGCCCTGTCCCCAGTAGTCTTGGGAGGAATGGGGAATTTTTGCACATTGAAGAGGGGGAGTCTCTCTTTTCTTCCCCATACACAGCCTCCTAGGGACCCAGCTTTTACCATGAGTGCCACTTAATTTCAGCATGCCATTAGCTGGTATCTGAATTATAATTTAATTTTTAAAACTTTTCTTCCTCTCAAGGAGAATGAACTAATTTGTGCCTATTTTAAAGGAAAATAACTCAGATCCTACTGGTTAGTAAAAACTTAGAACATTCCCTCTGTGGTGATTCTCATGAATTATAATTTCCTTAGGAACCATATAGAAAAGAACTTTAAAATGGGCCAAGTGGGATATTGAAAAATAATATTGGCTCAGATCTTTCCTTAAACTTCAGGGATACTGTGCTTACCCTTTTTGATTTCTGCAGATAGGAAAGGCTATCAAAGTTTCATAACTGCTTGGGATATATGTTTAGCAATAAACTGCCTGGGATGTATGTTTCACTAAAATTTCTGCCAAGGTAAACATGAACGTCAACATCCCTCACTTCACAAACATCCAATAGTATAACTGTAAGCAAACATTTTCTGTATTTTAGGCTCTGTGAACCATACTGTTAAAACTATTCAATTCTGCCCATCTAGCATGAACAGTCACAGATAATACATAACTGAATTGGCATGGCTGTGTGCCAATAAAACTTTATTTACGAAAACAGAAATTTGAACCTCCTTGGCCTGAGAGATTTCATTTGCTGACCCCTGCTTTAGGAATTACCAGACTAAAAAATCGCATGAGCCACCCTCCACGTATAAAGACAAGGCAAATGAGGACCATATTGGCTAGCAAATTCATGAGTCTAGACCTCAAACTCCCAATTCTTACAGAATCGATGACTTCCCTGCCCTAACCTGAAGCCCCAAGATCCATTTTACAAAGAGATTTTTCAAGATGGTCCCATTCCATGATGTACGCTAGGGTTTAGGGTCTTCAGGAATAGAATCAACATCTGGAAACAGAGTGAACTATATTCCTACTTCATTAGCATGCCTCTATTGTAATTCTAACCTGCAGGTGCCAGGCGACCTGGGTTCCAGTCCTGGTACTGGCATTGAGTACTGGCCCTGGCTACTCGCCCTCTCTGCCTCACTGTCCTTCTCTGTACAATGAAGGAGAAGCATTTAACCTCAGAAGTTCCTTCCATTTCCAGCATTCTGAAGCCCTACGTAAGCAAGAAGGCCATCAAAAAGGCCATGGTTTCAGTAGAACCAATGTCATAGAGCCATCCAGTTTGCTCAGAGGTTTCTTGCATTAAGATCATGAGACTGGGAATCAGAAGAGCTGGGTTCTACTTCTGATTCTGTCTCTGCACCCCTCTGACCTTCTGTTTCTTCAGTATGTACACTGCAAAGGTTGACTTAGCCCTCTCTAAGGTTCCCTTCAACTCTAAAACCCACTGTCTTATGACCAGCTGGCCCTGGAGACCATTTTAGTCAAGACAGTCAGACAGGAGACATAACCTAAACCATTCTTTCATTTTGATCCTAGTTTTTAACACACACACACACACACACACACACACACACACACACCCCACTACCCAGGTTTCTCCTTGATCCCGGACTCTGTCTTTGGCAGCCCCTTACAGGGATCCATGACAACACTGTTACAACTAGCTTGTCAAGTGCAGTGACATCTGCATTCCTGACATTCCAATCTGGAGATGGTCTTTTTATAGCCCCTGTGGTGGGAGGATGCAGCAATGGATGCAACACAGACAGGATGAATTTAGAATTGCAAACTGGGTAGAATATGTTGTCCTTAATCTGAATAAAGCTCCTGTAGTCTGGGACTGTTTTCCCAACAATTCCATCAAGTCTCTCCTTGGTTCCAAGAAGAGGAGGGTTCGAAGAAAGCACACAGTGACCTCACTACTATGCCTGCCAGCACCCACTGATAATTAGCCCATCCATGTCAGACCTGCCCTGTTCTGCCTTCTGTGATAGACAGTAATTTGGAATCCACCCCAAAGAATCAGCTGCATCAGCTGCAGAGTTCTAGAGGACTGCGGGTGAGTTAGGGATTGGGGCCTGCTACCTACAGGCTTGGTAATTACAAAGCTCTTGACAAGAGGAGCAGCCTCTGCTCTCCTCTTTGTCTCTGTGGTTGGGCATCTTAGAGGAATGAATTGTCAGCCTCTTTACCCAGATTCATCTGCCAGACCTGTTTTTTCACTTTCACTGAGCCTCCATGAGGCACACTGCCAGCATGACGGTTCAACGCTAGGGCCCTTTGTGTTGGAAAAAACTTATACTGAAGCTTCACACCTTAGGTCATTATTTTCAATATACCTTAAAAGGGTAGTAGGGGAAAACTGTTTTAATAAAACATTTCTAACCCCAGGATTACATGGCTACCACAATCAGTGCTGACTGCCCCATGGGGAGACCAGAAACCACAGAGCATCTACTCTTCACAACAGAAACTCTTTTGCTCCCCTTTGCTACTTTCTACCATGGTGCTGCCAGTATCTCTTTTAGCTCTGACCCTGTGAGTTCAAGGCTGCCCAAGTTTGATGCTCGCCCTGACCGCCTTAACTACAAGCTCCTCCATGATGCACAAATCACATACAACCAACAGATGCTCACATCTGCCTCTCATCCTTCTGGCCGGATCAAACTGAGCCAGCTCCTTCTCGACATAGTACAGGACCTTCATGGAGTCTCTCTCTTTGTCAGCTTGGATCCGGTAGCCTTTGCGAACTGTTGAGAAAGCACAAGAAGGTGAGCTAAAAAGAAGAAGAAAATAAAGAAAACATCAGAAAAAGGAGGCCTATGTTGATCTTACCAAGTGGGAAACATGGTTCCTAATTATAAAAACTCCTTTTGAAATCACCCAGAAATCACCTGTCTTGTATATATGGGACCATACCCGAGATCCCCTCTATTAGGAATGCCATTGGAATGGAGGCCCTGAAGGTCAACAACAAAATTTCATTACAGTATAGTTACTTGATACCCTCTGCTTCCTGTCTTCTGACCTCCTACCACTCCACTGAATGCTCATCTTCTCAAAGCTTTTGAGCTCCATGGGAGGGGTACATTCACACTAAAAAAAGAAAAAGACCACTTCTTAGATGGAGGACACATGTCACCCCACAGTCAGAGGTTCACAACTTCACTTGGAGGGATCACAAGTCCCTTTAAAACAGACACCTAAACATCAGGGACCTTGAGAAAGGTGGCTTGGAAGCCTCTAGTTGCCTGGGAGATGGTACAAAAATTTCTTAATTTGGGTGGTACCTAAGAACTAATATTAGATTCTAGACTTCATACACAGTAGTACAAAACAAGATCCAAAACACATGGATTTCTAATCATGGTTCCATTTCATTTCTTTAGCATTTTCCTTTTAAAGAAGGGAATATATTTTAAACATGATTAATTCAACCTGCTGCTATGTGGTTACAAGCAGGTGTTACTTTCAGGGCTTAATAATAATAAAAAAGAAATTAAGGCATCTCTTAAATCCCCATCACTTATGTATAAGTCTAGCCCAGTGCCAACCCCAAGGGTGACCAGACATCAGCAGGCCTACAGTCCAGGTATAGAAAGGAAAACAATGAAAGAAAGGAATGATGGAATGGGGCTGGAACTATAACGGTAATTAGACAACATTTATTAAGTGCTGAAAATGTGCTAGGTCCCGTGCTAAATGTTTGCATATGCACTTGTCCCTCGCAACCACTTGAGGAAAGAAGTACTGTTATCAGTTGCATTTCATGGTTGAGAAAACTTCGGATCAGAGGGATTTTCATATTTTGTCTGGAAATAATTTCACAGTGCCAGGGCTGGAAACATGTAGTCTGATTGACTGATGCTTCCTTGCCTCAGGACACCTTGATTCTCAATAGTCTAGGAGGAGACACAGTTTAAAAAAAAAAAAGTAGACAAAGAAGACAAGTAAGCAAAGCCCAGAGTAGAAAATGCTCTTAGGTGTATCATGGGTTGCATGGTCCGCAGCAGGGTCCTGACCTTAGCCAGCAGGACTGTGCCATGGGATGGAGTAAGGAATCCAGGCCCAACACTCCCTGTTACCAGTGAGGCCAATATTATAAGGAAAACACATGACTGCATGCGGCCCAGTTACCCTGACAGTGGGCAAAGCCCTCCTTGGCTATTTACGTGGAAGATTAAAATATAAAATTCCACAGCACACTAATCAAGCCCAGGCGCTGAAGACAGAGAAATCGCCCACACACACATTTGCAGGTGCACTGGTTTTCTATATGAGAACATTCTGGGCAGTCAACATCCATCTCAAATTGTGGAATTACTTAGAAAAAAATTAACAGATCTCAGCACATGCTTTTTAGGGGTACCTTCTCCCAGAGGTTAGACCTGTAATCCTTAGGCGGAAGCAGTTATTAGCAGAAATGATTTTATTTATCAAGCTACACATTCTTCCTTTTCTGAAGAGGCGTTTGCACAGTAGTGCAGACAGTTCAATTAAAATGCAATTATCCCACATAACTGCTACGTCTGTACCAAACCAGTTATGTCTAATGGATGAGACAGGACTGGAAAATGGGGAACTGGGCATCTTGGGATCATGCTGTCATCAGTTTACTGAGGGACCTCAATAAATGATGACCTGTCAGACTCAGTTTTCCTGTCTATAAAATGCAACTAATATTTTCTACAGTTTAAATAATCTCTTAAAGAAGAGAAGACAGATAAGACCAAATCAGTGAAGCATTTGGAGTCAACTGTAATTATTCAGGGCAGCTCAAACACAGCCTTATCCTCAAAAGGTTTACTTCAATTTTCATAGCTGGAAAAGATCTATCTTTCTGTCATGATCTTTTTCCTAATTTATAGTCATTTAGTTTCAACTTTTATTATGGGCCTTAATATAGTCTAGTGTCTTTCAAGTTATTTAGATAAAGGTCTAACTTCAGAAATTATTAAAAGAAAAGAATATTTATCATTCAGGATCTCCATGTGCCTAGGACTGTGTTTTACAAACAGTAGACTCTTAATAAATGTTGAATTACTGCTAGCTGGGGAATGCAGGAGGGTTACAGTTTCTTGGAAGGAGTATTTTCAGTACAGTGTCCATCTATAGAGTTAAACTTCATGAAGACTTTTCACCTCCATACTACTGGCACCTAGCATAGAGCCTGGCACATTATAGACATTCAAAATGTGTGTCCAAATGAATGAATGAAAGCACGAATGAATGGGTAAAGAGAAACTAGGAAGAGAAACTGTATTTCACGGATTACAAAGTATGGCATGTGCATCCATGTGAGTGCTTTACTGAAGAATTTTGATTAGGAAGGGAAAGACTTGATCAGGAAAGGTAGGTTTTGGGGTAATTATTATTGATGATTATTTCCTAAGTAAAGAACACTAGCATGTTTGTGGGATTAGGGCACAGCCTACTCTACCTGCAGCAGTGGCTTTATCTAGGTGTTCTCAATATGTGAAACACTTTTAGGGTAAGCCTCCAGAGACCCTGAGATAAAGATCATGGGAGGAAGGGTTGCTGCAATATGGGACTATACACCAGCTGTCCCTGGCGGAGAGAGGACAGCTGCACTGAGCAACAGCTGGAGCATTCTCAGTTAACTGCCGCTTGGACTGGAGCTTAGATTGTTTTCCATGTCATTATAAAAAATTACACTGCTCATTATGATACACATTTGATTGTGTGCATAGTTACTGAAAAGTTACAGTAGCCACAGCCTCAAATGAGGATAATAGTTTTAGATTTCAATAATGCCTTGTAAGGAGACTCCCCTGTACTATACTAAATACTTTCAGCTTTGACTTCTCAGTCACGGTAGCCCATGACTTCGGGAATTTAAATTAAGTCAAATTTGTCAAAAAAAGACAGAGGCAAAGTATTGATCATTAGACTTTAGAGGCATTATCCATTTGGTTTCAGTAATTAAAAATCCAGGTAATTCTCCCTTTAAAAAGTGTAGTCTTTTTTCCCCCTTAATGGTAAGCTGAGAATGTGCACGACACGCTAAATTATTCTCTCATCCTGGCAGAATCTGGGTTTGTGTCACATATGTGCTTCAGAGCATATGAATCACCAGAAAAACCTTCCTTGATCCCCTCTCTCCAAAGGCAAGATTCTCCTTTCTGACCCTGCACCACAGAATATCATATACTGCCTTGGATTTTTTATTCATTTGATTTCCATTCACAAGCCCCCAGCAATCACCCTGCTAGACTGTAAATTCCTGGAGGGCAGGGAAATTTTGTAGGGATTCATTAAATGCTTCGTGACTTAAAAACATATAGGATGGCATCAGATTGATGTTTTTCTGTACTTTGAATATCAGAGAGTTCTCTGATGTGTGGTGATATTTTAATAAGAAATGTTCTAGGCGAGTGGCTAGAGTCCAGCATATTTGGAGAATGACTTTTTTCCTAGTAATGTTTCAGTTTGGGGTCAATGGATGATTTATTTCTGTTTTCAAGCTTGGTCTGGTCCAAGTTCTTTGCTTGCTGCGGCTCTTCATAATCCAGCTCCTCCTCTTCTTAACCTTGCCCAGTTTGACTTTCCTGGAGAGAGACGAAAGGGCCCTATTCCCTATGACACCAAACTCTAATTTTTAGAACTCTTATTGTTAGAGGATCTGAGCTGATACTTTTGACCCACTTAAGATACAAGTATTTCTCAGCTAATTTCCCCTTTTCAGCCAAATCCAACTTGCAAAAGAAATCTCTGAGGTAGACTTCCATGGATAGAGCCTTGTTCTTCCTGTCCTCTCTTAACGAGCTAAGCAAGGCTGTTTATGGATAAGGGAACAGCGCCAGATTCCACCCCCAGGGTGACAGCAGCTCAATTGTGGGAGAAGTGATTCTTAAAATTTGCATAGTCTTTGTACATATACAGTAGGGAGCTATATATACACACACATATATCATTAATTTTGAAAATGATATTTCAAAACCCTACTCGTCTACACAATTCTTTTGAAAGATGAGTGGAAGCCAGGTAGATGGAAGTGAAATGGATTAGAGCAAGGCACAAATAGAGATGGAGAGAGCAACTAGGAAACAACTGCACTAAGCAAAGCAGGAGACGATGGCAGCACAGACTAGGACTGTAGAAGAGGTAGAAGAAGGGAAATCAATCCCAGGTTATTCTGAGGTACATTCTGAAGGACTGGTGGCCAGTTGGATAAGGGAAGGAGAAGTAAGCAAGGGATAAGAATGAAGTCCTTGCTTCTGGTTGGGCCACAAGGCCAACAATGATGCCATCCACGGATGTAAGATATGTAGAATCTGGTTCGAAGTGGAGAAGCAGCAGATTAATTCCATTTCCAAGAGGCTGAGGTTTAAATGCTTGTAAGACACCCAGTGGAGATGTCCAGAGGCACCTGGATATAGACTGAGGGGCAGAAGAGAGGCTGGAGATAATAACTGGGAGTCACCATCATGTAAGTACAAGGATTATTGAAAAAATAACATGAATGTTTAAATTTAAATGTGTTACAAAGCCAGGTGTGGTAGTGCACGCCTGTAATTCCAGCACTCAGGAGGATAAAGCAGGAGGATTGGTGTGAGTTTGAGGTCAGCCTGTGCTACGTAGTGAGTTGAAGCCCAGACTAAACTACATAGCAAGAATCTGTCTCAAAAATAAATAATAGAGCCGGGGATTTAGCTCAGTGGTTCCGGCACCTGCCTTGCAAGTGCAAGGCCCCGAGTTCACTTCCCGGTATAAATAAATAAATAAATAAATAAATAAGAGTAAAAGACACATTACCATTAATTCCCCACAAAATATTTCTCCTCATTTCTAACACATTTATCCCATTGTTTGTGCCACTTTCTGAAGCAGTTTTGGAATTCACCTCTAAGAAGTTTGATCAAAAATGTGAATGCAGGGCCAGGGATTTAGCTCAGTGGTTCTGCTGCCTGCCTCGAAAGCACAAGGCCCTGAGTTTGATCCCTGGCACCGAAAAAAAAAAAATGTGAATGCTGTTCTGAGTGCCATCCAATGGAAAGGCAAACTCATAAAAGCATTACAGTGTGTCCTCAGCCATCTTATTTATCAGATCTAGCACCATGTGACTTCTGGTTTGTCCCCAAAGTCAAAATGACCAAGAAAGATAAATGTTTTTAATTGATTCAAGACATCAAGGCAGCTAGTTCAGAGCAACTAAAGACACTCAAGAAGAGAGACTTCCAGAACTACTTTCAAGAATGGCAAAAACAATGGGATAAGCGTGTAAAAGAAGTGAGTATTTTGAGTGGGGTTAATGGCAATGTGTCTTTTAATGGAATAATTTTTAAAAATTTAAACATATACCATATATTTTCATCATGCTTTGTAGAAGAGGACAGAAACTATGGGAGTAGATAGAATTTCCCAGGGAGGAGACTACATAACAAACAGAACACGAATATCTGAAGGACACAGAAAAGGAACAGCCAGCATATAAAGAGACAGGTAGAAAGACTACAGTATAAACAAGGCAAGGAAAGATGACTGGGGCAGGGATGGCAAATGCTTCTGAGAAGTCCCAGGAGGTAAAAGGCGTCCATTAGATCTAGCAATCAGGCATCCTTGGCACGAGCTGGTATCTGGAGTTCTAACAGCAACAGCAAGATGGAAGTTAGTTGAGTTGGTGAGAGCAGAGGAAATAGAGACATTAAATCTCTTTCAAAACTCTTTCAAGGAGTTTGGCTGTACATGGGGAAAAGGGTCAGGGAAGCAACATCAGAAGACTTCAGAATTTTTTGCAGATTTTTGTGGTATTTTATGTTATTTTTCATTGTTGTATTTTAGTGAGTAAGATTTGAGCATGTTTTGGATGGTGATAAGAAGGGAAAGTTGAAGATATGGGGTAGGAAGGGGGTACAGTATGGACACTGAATAAACAGAGAACCTTGACAAAGTTGAAGGTGATGGATCCAAAGCCAGACAGGAGGAGAGTGACTTCTTTCATTGTAACAAACAAGGTCTCAAGTAACTGCTGTGAAGAATGGAAGAAAGAATCAGGGACCTCTTCCCCCTCTCCCGTTTGGTAAACAACTGGCTGTACTATACATAGCTCATCGAAGATGCCTTTCTAAACTACACAGAGTGTTCAAGAGTATTGTGTCCCACTGTAATCTGAAAAATCACTGTTGCTAGATGATTACTCTAAAATTAAAGTAGCATATAAATATAAAAAGGTTAAATTTACATCTTTAAACATCAGGATTCCTTAATATTTTTTTTTTTGGTACTGGGGATCGAACTCAGGTCCTTGCGCTTGCGCAGCAGGCGGTGAAACCACTGAGCTAAATCCCTGGCCCTTCTTAATATTTTTAATGTTCTTTACAGAATAGTCTGCAGCGGCCTAAGCCACCTTTTTATAGAAGAATTAGCCAAACGCCATCAATAATGTTGCCCAGGGGACCATGAGTACAGAAATGTGCCTGTGGAGACCATGAGGAACTCTGTCCTGACTCCACAGACAGATAATCATGATATGGGCCAGACCAGCTGTGGTAGACTCTGGTTGCCATTTTTCCTGTTTCTTGGCTAACAGTACCCTGACTTTGTTCACTTCTAAGGCAAATAGTTGTCCATATTTAAGAGGTGAGTCTTGATTAGTTCAGACCCACCTGATTTAGGAATGGGCATGGGACACAATTCTTGTCAATAAAACTGCAAGAAGTCTAGTGGATGGGGGAGGAACTCCTGGAAAACTCTTCCTCCATGATGGGGAAAGTAGCACAAGGATGTAGCATGCTTTCTCCATCTCTGAAAACATTTAATACCTGGAATTCCTGTAGTCATCAAGGGATCACAAGGGAGCCATCCAAGGAGGACAGAGGATGTACTCAGGGTGACAGCACAAGGGTAAAAAGAGTTAGGTCCTGCAACGATGCCACCAACCTGTTCATTTAGCCAACACTAGAACTATTTTACTTTGCAATTTCTTCCTATGCAAAATAATACATTTTCCTCTTTTCAAAGCCATTTCCAATTGCAGTTGGCTAATGTGGCAGGATGGGGCCAAAATGATTAAACTGCAACAAATAGGAACTGAGAGAAAAGGTTGAAAACAGGAAACAGAAAGTATTTGCTATCCTTCAAATAAGAATCATTTTATTATGATAATTCACTTAATAAAAGATAAAAGGATTTTGGTAGGAAGGAAGAAAAAGAGTAGGGAAAGCAGCAAATAAAGACCGTGAGATAAGTTTCATTAATATCTCTTTGGCCCATTCTATCCTTTGGAAAATGGGCTATACTGACTTTTTCTTTCTAATTCCCTGCCTGTCCTTGATCATTAACTTATTATTATTTTTGTTTTTTGGTGCTGGGGATCAAACTTGGGTCCTTGTGCTTTCACAGCAAGCGGCAAAACCACTGAGCTAAATCCCCAGCCCTTGATCATTAACTTTTACTTCTCAGCTTGTGACTCATTCCTAGTCTCAGACGTCAGAATTCTACTAATAGTTCCAGGGGGAGAAAAACATAAAGACCAATTACTCACTGAGGATAACCACACCCTCTGCAGTCAGGAATTGTTGGAGCCTTAAGTGAGATGGACCTGCCCCCTCTCACTGAAGTCCAGATCCTGCCAAGCCGTTTTACCAGCCCTAGTGGGCCATCCCCATCTAGGGATTTAAACATCACCTTCTAAATCTACGACACACACAGTCTTCATCTTACTACTACGCTGTGATCCTGCTCAAATGCCCCTCTACCTCTCTACCATGCACTGCCCCTCCACCTCTGTTCCTAATCTTCACCCGGCTCAGCTCTCCTTAGCAATACTTCACTGCTGTCTATGATCCGTACCGCTAGACAGCTTGGAGTCATTTCGTATCTTCCCTTTCTTTCCTTCTCTCACATGTCCTTGCTTCTTTCAAACTATCTCTTAGATTTACCCAAGTGCTCCCCCCACTCTCTCATCATAAACCAGCCGGTCACACAACGCAACTAAGCCACATCCATTAGGTCTCAGGTCCTGCTCTCAGCCTCCCTCTCTCCACTCACCACTCGGCTGTTATCCTGCCCTCTCTCCACCTGGGAATCTGCCCGGAGGGGCTTTCATCTGCTCACCCCACAAAGGTCCACCTCTTCCGTGGGGTTACACAGCCATCTTTCATCTGGCTCCACTACATCCTTCTATCTTCTTTCAGGCATTCTGACAAGTTGGTTACTATTGAAGGCTCACACTGTGGTTTTCCAGGCTTGGTATTTCACCACACCGGCCTTCCTTTATTGGAGATGCTCAACATTTCCCCCTGTTTTCCTAAGTCTTACTCATTCCTTTAGGCCCAGCCCAAATTTCTCTGCCTCCTTGTAATCACTTCATCATCTTTGAACTCCATACCATACTCTTCAGCTTCTAATTGTCTTAAAGATCTATTCTCTATCCCTGACTAGACCATACTGCTTGTTAGAGAACCTGTATCCAACCCATCCTGCTGTACCACACAGTACCTAGTAGTCCTGAACACTAGGGAGAGGTGAGACATCTAACCAATGACCAACATTCAAGGAGTAGCTTGCATTTTTCCTATAGTTTTAGTTACTGAGGAACCTGGAAAGGAAGCAGGGAACAGCAGTGTCCCTCGGCCCTTGCAAACCCTAATATGCACTCCAAAGATACAAGTACACAGCGGGCAGGGTCCCACTTCTGGAATGGAGATCATCATTTCCCAAAGACATATCACTATGCTGGCTGTGCTCCTCACCAAGGAACCTGTGCAGGGGCCCAAGACAAGCACGGGGCAGGGTCTGGAACTACATTTACCACTGTGGCTTCCTCCAGTGGAGTCACTTGGTGCCAAGGGAGGTGGATGTGGCTTGTCCATCAGCATGCCAGATGAGGGGGCTCCTCCCAAAGGGACAGAGGGGATGGAGTAAGGGCCAGGGACACCGGAGACAGAGGGAGGGTACCCGGCCTTGGCTGCCTTCCCTGCTTCATACACTGTGGAGGGAGATGAAGAGCAAGAGAGATTATGTTGTCCCCCCCTCCACATCCCTGGACCAAAAAACCCCTGAGGATGCACTCAGGGGAGCTACTGGGCATATGCGTGCTCTCCTAGGACTGCATGGATTCTGCATTGAGCTCCTCCAGCTCCATCCAAAAGGCAGTGATGTAAGGACTTGCAGTATTTGCACCTGGTGGCTGGCTAATTATGTGGTTCTGGGAGCTGTCACTGCAGCATCCCCAGTGACAGCAGCAGCCCACGCTTCTCACACTGTATGTGGGTGGCCTCCACCTCTCTGGTGCAGCCCAGCTCAAGGGCTGCCCAGGGCTGCTTCCGGGAGGATCCAGAGCCCTTCTGGGGAAGCGCAGCAAGCAACAGGCTTGCACATGGCCCCTGATCTATGATTTCAAAACTCCTCCTGACACTGCTTTATTGCTAAAGAGTACACAGCGTGCCTCTCTCTTCCAAGACTGAACTTATGGGAAGAGGGCCACATTTAATGCCCATCTGGGCTTGGTGAGTAAGGTGAAACTGTGAATCATCAAATGAGGATGAGTTCCTGCTGTGGCCCATTTCATCACAGGAATAAATAAAGCTACCAGTGTCTGCTGGAAGGTACTCAAAGGCCACCGTTCACACACTCTGTTTATAACAGAAGACATTCTCTGCACGAGGGGAGAATAACCAGGGGAGGTTTCCTAGTTTGGATGCCCCAACAAGAAGAAACATCTTTATCCCGCGACCTCACCATCCTGGGCCTGCCCTTCCTTTCAGCAGTAAAGTCCATGAGAATTCCGAATGCATGGAGTGATGGTGTGGATAAAAAGCATGGAGATGTGCATGTAGGTGAGAAAGAAAACAAGATGGTCATCCCAGAAGCCAAGGGCTAGAGCAGAGGGGAGGGTCTGGAATGACCAACTTTTGGGGTGGAAGAAAAGGAGGTGAAGGAGGAACTCAGGGTACACGGCTGTCAGGTGGAGAGGTGACATTTTTGCTGATCACTCCATATCTCCCCACTGGATCTTTCTTTACTCACAGGCCTGCGGGCAGCAACAGGAGTCTGGGCAGCATGGGCAACGGACGTAGCAGCAGCAGCTGTGAGGGCAACACTGGCACCAGCAGATCCCCACAAGGACGAAGAAGAGGAAGACTCCCAGGAGCACCAGGCCGACAAACACCCACTCTGGAAGGACGGACAGAGAAATGCATATTCGAGGTGGTCCACCTTCGGGACAGGGCACAGTCTGATGACTGTCTCCCTATGAAAGGAGGTGAGGGATGGCCTGGGGAAGAAAACATGTTTTCCCAGGGAACAGAGGCCCCAAACACAAGAGGAGCTCTGAGCACGAGAAGTACCTGGGCACTTTGGAGAAGTAGAGAAGAAGGAAGAAGGTTACCTAGGTCTCACACTGGGCACACAAAATGACCAGCACAAAGCAATGGGGGCGGGGGGTTCCTTACTGGGGAAAGGTTTACCAAATGGTTATACCAAATGGATAATAACCTGAACAGGATGGGACAAGAGCAGAAAGACTCCTGGGGATTGGTGGGAGAGACTCTGCCTGCTGGGCTATGAAGTGGTAGTCTCTGAGAATACCTACCCTTTATAGTCAGGTTAATCTTGCCTATTAAGTGTAAATCCTGAAAAAGGGGCCTCTATGTCTAGATGCAGACCATCATTGGTGGTCTAGCCCCATACTTATTTATCTGCTTTCCTTACTAATCAAAGCTTTCCTGTTCTCAGCACTAGGACTGAGATCCAAAACCTCTTGGTTATACCTGGACAGCTATGCACAGCTTTAGAAAACTGGAGACATAGTCTCACAAAGAGAAGACGCTATCCCCATCCCCAGAGAATGGGTGTGGTTTGAACACATGCAAGCTGACCATGCTACACAGCCAGCCCAGCCGTGGGCCAAGGTGGCTCACACCTGTGACGAATGGTTACACAAATGGCATATATGTTGCTGAGTCTGTTTGTTTAACTTCTGCTGTTTTCTCAGCTCTGCCAGAGGCTGAACATGAATTGGATTTCATTTGCCCATCCAAAAGATTAAGAGAAAGGCAACAAGTCTTATTTGGCTTAGATAAAAATGACTGTGGCCCTTGGGTGAATTGCCTCAATGTCATATACTGTGGCTTGGCTGGGGACTCAGGCAGACTGAATGCAGTGAACTATGCTTTCCTTTAAAAGCCAAAAGACTAAAGCGATTCACTTTGGTTAAAGCCATCTGTCAAAAAAAAACCCTTTAAAATGAGCTTCAAGTACACTTAAAAATTTTTTTTTCTGGTTATTAAGTCTTCTTTCAATTAAATGGACATTCATTTGGGAGCTTTAAAATATGACATTTTTGTTATCACAAAAGGTTTTGTGATAATGTTAAATCATTTGACCTTTGGTTAGAACATAATTTCCCCAGAGAGAAAGCAAACAACTTATGTCCCCTGAATGTCCCTCCTCACTTATCCATCAGATACATTCAAATTAAGCAGGTCAGCCTCTCTTCAGTAAGGACTGAGCAGGCTTTGTACCTGGCTTGGATGGACTGGAGATCATTCTTGCTGAGGACAACAGATAGCAGAAGGCTTTGGTCCAGGCCTTAGCAATAACGTAACACAATGTAGCTTGAGACAGATAGGAGCTTGGAGGGCTTTTTTGTTTTGTCTTGTTTTGTTTGTTTTGTACTGGGATTTAACCCAGGGCTTTTGCACTGACCTACGCTCCTTTCCCTTCCTTCCTTCCTTCCTTCCTTCCTTCCTTCCTTCCTTCCTTCCTTCCTTCCTTTCTTTCTTTCTTTCTTTTGAAACAGGGTCTTGTTAAGTTGCTAAGCTGCCCAGACTAAGCTTGAACTTGTGATCTCCTGCCTTAGCCTCCCAGAGTGCAAAGCTCCAAGATCTGGTGAGCTGTAAGGAGTGATGATTACAACTTATGTCAGGCACTTAAGGGGAAAAGGCTAGCAGGTTATATTTGAGAAGCAAAAGAATATTATCTGCTAAAGGATTCTTGGAGTCAAGGGAAGGAAATTCAGGTGGATAGGACCAGATATGAAAAATACAGTAACTTGTTCATGAAACCAGGAGATGTAACTTCTAGTTTGAAACATCACAATGGAACACTGGGCCTTTGCGAGGCTTTGGTTTGTGAGCAAATACTTACAAATTAAGTGAACTTTTGATAAGGGGGATTACAAAGAGGTATCTATTTGTGTCCTTGAGAGCAACAGCAATAAAAATGTCTGGGTTTGGGTTGACCAGCTAATGGGAAAGGGCAAGAAAAATTCATGCAAGAATGATTAGTAATGTTCAACTGTGAAGACTCTGGATGATTTTTAAAAAATTAAATCAAGTCAAAACCAATGGCCAGGAATATTTTGTATCTCTCTTCTGCCATTAGGAAGCTCTTAAAATCTGGATGGAAATTCTTTGAAATAAGACTGAATTGCATCTTTTCTGAATCCTTGAGTTTAGCCATGTCTTCACCACTGTTCATCCTTGCTTCTCTCTAAGCCTCCTTCCATTATGAAATACATTGCTGAACCAGCCTGACTTGGCTTGCTTAGGCTAATGCATTCACCTGCAGCTACATCAAAAGATAGAGATGTGTATTTGGGGCAGGTGTGCTTAACATACTATCCATGGGCCCCTAAGGGACTCAGGGTCTCACTAAGTTGCCCAGACTGGGCTCAAACTTGGGATCCTCCTGCCGTAGCCTCCCACAGTTCTGTGATTAGAGGGATGTGCCACCACATCCTCAATGTGTATTTTCCAAGGGTGGAGGAGTACATATCTTTCTTAAGGTTTGAAAAAGATTTTTAATAATGTTATAAAAGGCAATTCAGAATAACATGACTGTGTAATAACCAATGGGCAAACATGAAAATAATGACTTTAAGAATCTTAGAAGCTCTCTGGATACAGCTGAAATGCTGAGCTGAGCATGGAGATTGTCAAGATGCTTGGCACTGAAGGACTAGGTCTCCATATCAGCCCAAGTTTAATTATCATTTCACGGCCTAGGAACAGAAGAAATACAATTTAAAAGCTTTTCCAATGGGCTTAGTTCCTTCTGTAAAAAATGACAAATATATATATAGACAAATGTGCAAATAAATTAAACAAGAAATTAGTCACTAATGCAAAAGCAAGACAGATGGAATGATAGCAAATTAAGCAAATAAAGAGTTAAATGACTGAATACCTGGCATAATCTCCACAGCAAAACTGGGCAAGAGATCAGCAAGCAGCCCTGTCCTGCCTAGAATAAGTGGAAGGAAAAGAAGAAGGAAAGAGGTTACTCCAAGGGAAAATGCAGCCTGAAACATGGCTCCCATTGGTACCTCCTACATGGGGCTATTGGGCCATGCTCAATGGGGAATGAGAGGCACATCACCAAGGCTGAGCTCAGTCCAAGACAATGACTTTTTTGCTCAATCTTTGGCCGCCATCTAAGTGGAGTCTGCACCTAAACTAGGTGGAAGCAGACACAGAACCTTCGCTCCAGCTATTTACAGGAAGAGGAAATCTCTGTTTCCATATGAAAAACTCTGCTTCAGCAGATTGACATACACCACCTCCATTCATTTATACATCTTTCTCCATACACTTCACTGCAAGTCAAACCCATCTGTATCCAAACGTTCTGTCTACATTTTCATACATCCATACACAGACCTATGTCCATATAAAAACAAAAGTACATATTTGGTTTTAACTCAGAATTATCTTGCTACATGATTCTATTTATGGCCTAAAGATATTTCAATGATTAAAACTTTCAATGGCAAGGCAAAGATAAAGCTAGATCAGTTACACACTCCTCTACACTCCTTCTGGCTTCAGAAATACTCTCTACATATGTATATGGTATGGTTTTTCCATATGGCACCCACAGCTGGCACTGTACGTACCCAAGTGCCTTCTGCGTGATGTGGCTTAGAAGCTTAAAGCTGGTGTCAGAACAGGTGCCCCTCAGAGGTTCTGGGAGGCAAAGAGCAGTGAAGGAAACAAGGCACTGGAGGGTGTGAGAGAGGAGATCAATCTTTTTTAAAACTGGCCTGACTTACAGAAAAATGTTCTGATCCTCTCACCATATTCTCTAATCGAGGTAAACATAAAGACCTGTTATGCTATCTCTTCCACGCTGAAGCCTTACTAATAAACTAGGAAGTTCCACTAGGAAACCCCTGACAAACTTCTCTCCTTTCAATGGAAGTACAGTGCCAGCAATATGGGTAATTTTAACTAGTAATTACATTAAGAAAGTGAAAGGAAACATAAAACAAATTTAATACTATTTTAACTTACATCAATATCAACAACATTTTATCATTTCAAGGGCTCAGTAAGCACACGTAGCTATTGGACAGCACTGCTCCAGGGCCTATGAATTGGTTGCTTATATCATTAATGACACGAGTCTAATTAATTATTTGGGCCACAGAACGCCCAGAGATGTTTAAAACATCGGTAACCTTGAAAGTGCTAGAAAGTAAACAAAAGCAATGCTTTTCATTTAACCAGATACAAGAAGAGATACATTTATAAGTACTAATTGTCCAGATTGGGGAAAATACAACAAAAATCCACAATTTACATTTTCATACAGCCATTCATAGTCTTATTTCCATATAAAAGCAAAATCCACATATATATGTATACATATTTGTATTTAGCTCATTTAGAAACCACTACTTCCTGTTGAAGTTTGTGGAGGTACAACAGAGAAAAAGTTACCCCTGTACGGCTTATAAGAATTAGAGTTGGTCACTGGTCTTTCCTCTACAAGGCACCCCACAGAGAAGCAGCTTTGATGAAGGTCAAAGGAACAAGGACACCTCCAGGGCACTAGGGAGGATGCTGCAGCTGGGGTAAGAAATTAGAATGGGGTAAAGGAGATCTTTGCGCACTTTACCTTTTCCTGGTTCTCCTCATCTATGGGAGGCTAAATGGTAACATTAGTCCTGGCCACATCTCCTGCATGGCCCACATCCGGAAAGCTAAAAGTGTATTCCAAGACAAAGGGTTGGTGACTCAGGCCAACTCTACTGCTCATAAGGTCCCTTCGGAGGGCAAATGCAAGCCTAGTAAGGCACTGGAGAAAGGCATCGTAAAGACTGGGAGGCTACTCAGGCTGGCTTTGGGTCTGAGCCTTCACAGAGGCTAAGAAGTGCCCTCAAGGCTCTCAAAGTCCCCTACAGTAGGAAACTAGAGGAGGGTTTGGCATCAAAGTCTGAGCACGTGATTAGGAACATGCGTTCATCTCACCCAGAGCCCCCTCTGTAAAAATATCTCTTGGAAACTCAGCAAGGTAATACACAGCTGATCAAAGATTTGGGAATGTGTGGCAACTTAGGGCAATAATTTACTTATTGACTAGTACACACAAATTACTTCCTTTTTCTAAGTCTCAGTTCTCTCATTAGAAGAAAGAAGAGGTTGAATGTAGTGGTATATAAATAGGGAGATCATATATCTTGGTTTGGTTTATGCCTATGGTCCTGGTGTAATTATTACTAGCACCCCTTTTTACTTTCAAAGTATCCTAGTTTAGACAATTTATTATATGGTCACCTTATCTAAGTATTTTTTAGTTATCCAATTTGATAATGATTAGAGTTACAAATGTCTATAGGGACAGGCAGGTGGTGCAAATGAGTACACCTGGCCAGTTTTAAGCCAACAGGGAACAGTTGGGGTGTGGAAAATGTCAGTGTCATTACAGGGCTGGTACTACTAACCTTCAACCAACTATTTCCTGGGGGATTGTCTTCAGGATTGTGCATCATCCTATTATTCAAGATTCATCAGACCTCATATTTTATGTGAAAGACTGATTTTCAAATATTGGACAACTAGTTCATATGTATTTAAAATAGTGGATAAGTCAAACAAACTATGTTTATGGGCTGTGAGTTTTCAAACTCTGATGGGTGTATACACAGAGATGTAATTATGGGTGGGAAAACACAAATGCTGGATTCCCCCACAGGCGTATAGGTTACCTTAACGATGTCCTAATGCTTCCACACACAGAATGATGGTGAATATAAGCTCTAGGCACATATGTTCACATTAAAATTTCAAAGCCATATTAGTACACACCAGATTATTAGCCTTTCTTATTCCTGAGGTGTTGGGATGGGAATCATGGAAAAACAATGAAGGGGTTTTCATATTTTACTCTAGACTTTCTTACTTCTATAATTGAAGAGATTAGTATGAAACTGGCACTTGGGGAAGTGTATACAACATATAGATAGGAAATTTACAAGGCTTGTCACTCTAGCAGGAAGACCTATGTCAAGCTCCTCATTCCCTTGAAGCAACAGTCAATAGCTGTTGGTGAAGGCTTCCCATAATGCATCTGTGTAATGATAGCCCCAAGGTGGTGAGAATGACAGTAAAGTGGGTGAAATTAAATGCCTTCTGAATTCAGAACTTAGTAGGAGTTTTGGTATAGCAGGCAACATCATTATATCAACAGAAGAGACTGCAAAGCTCTCTGGCTTTTACTTATATTCTGCTGGAGCTAAAGGCATTTTAAAAATTGGAACTATGCTGGAATCCTATATTTCTAAAAATCATTTTGCCTCCACTTTCTTTCCTAACAATTCCTAAGAAATGCTACTGCCAGTTAGAAATGTGCTATCTTTTCATACATTCTATCACATCCAATGAAATTCTCATTTTAGGACGTCTAAACAATAGCGGTAAATACATTCCAGATTTCAGCGGCGCTTTACCAACACTTATGAATCACTGTTATTCTTCCAGGATTTAGTTTAAGAGTGGCAATTACAAGTCACTTTAACATCTGAGGAAAAGGATGGAAAGCAGACCCTGCGATGGAAGGCCACATTTACTCTTTGCAAACCAAAGCTCAAACTTGTAGAAAATAGTTTTCATGTAACCATTCACTTTTCTCCAAGCCTTGCAGAATCTATTACTTTTAAGAAATTTCCACATGAATAAACCAAATGAATCAGGCACACCAATAGCTCGTGCATGCACAAACACAGTGCCAGCATTGCACCGGGTCACAGGATCTAGAGCCAATATGTCTAGATCCTTTGGGCCGAATGCTCAGGGTAGAAACTGGTACCATGAATATAACAACTGACATCGCTAACCTATAGATAGTGCTGTCTATTTCAGCTGTTCTCTGCCACTGCCACCTTAGAGTTAGCCCCAGCAGAACTGTTTATACATATTCCTGGAACTAGCTCACTTCTGGAATGTCTCAGTTCATTCATTCAATGAAGAAATGTGAAGTGCACCCAGTGTAGATAGAAACAGGAACGGGGCACAGTCCCTTGAAACACCTGAGAGGTTCTGTCCAGCCTACACCCATAGAGCTTGTCCAGTAGTGTAAGCAGAATGCAGTTCTTTTTCTTTGTAGCACTGGGAATTAAACCCAGGACCTTTGCATTGAGCTACATTCCAAAACTTTTTGTTTTTTGAGACAAGATTTAAGTTGTCCAGTCTGTGCTTGAACTTGTACTCCTCCTGCCTCAGCCTCCCAGAAGGCTGAGATTATAGGCCTGTACCACCATGCCTGGCAGTTAACTGCTTCTGCATTATAAGAGTTGCTAAAGTCAAAGGACTTTCTCTCCCTCTCTCCCTCTCTCCCTGGCACTCGCTCTCTCCCTCTCTCTCTCTCCCTCCCTCCCTCCCTCCCTCGTGTGTGTTTGTATGTGTGTGTGTTACCAGGGATTGAAACCAGGGAATACTGAGCTGGATCCCTAGCCCTTTCTTAAACTTTATTTTGAGACAGCATCTCACTAAGTTGCTAAGGTTGGCCTCGAACTTGTATTCTGTCTGCCTTAGCATCCAGAGTAGCAGGTAGGTGTCACACCTGGCCCTCTCCTCTCCTCCCCTCCCCTTCCCTCCCCACTTCCTCTTTCTCTCTTTCTTTCCTTCTCCACAGCTTTTGCACTAAGCTACATCTCTAGCCTCTTTTTACTTTTTATTTTGAGACAGGATCTTGCTAAGTCATTAAATTGCCCAGGCTAGGTTCCAACATAGATTGTTTTGCCTTGGCCTCCCCATGTTCTGGGATTACAGGCAGGCACCACCACATAGCTGGCTTTTTCTCTGCATTTCTGACATCAGATTCTATCCGGTCATGTGGGACCCCTCATGGGGTCCCCTCCAAGACAATGTCCTCCCCTTAATTTGGAGAACTATCTTTCCACATTTTATAACAACCATGTCCTGGTGATATTTTCCCAAGGTTCTAACACTCTTTGTCTTGGT